TTTTTTTTCTTCTGTAGTGTTAACGCTTTGAGAAAAAAAAAACAGAAACAAAGCTTTTTTGGTTTTGATTTAAAATAAAGCAAACAAAGGAAAACAAAACAAAAAGCAAAACTCGATTTCAATCATGTAATTCTAATTTTCTTTTTCTGTAATCAATGGGGAAAAAAAAATCTGAGTATATATATATATATATATATATTTTTTTTTTTCTTCTGTAGTGTTAACGCTTTGAGAAAAAAAAACAGAAACAACGCTTTTTTGGTTTTGATTTAAAATAAAGCAAACAAAGGAAAACAAAACAAAAAGCAAAACTCGATTTCAATCATGTAATTCTAATTTTCTTTTTCTGTAATCAATGGGGAAAAAAAAATCTGAGATTTTATTTAAAAGCCATATCACCTGTTCTGTATACTTCATTCACAGTACCTACCTGTGTAGTGTTCATTGCCTTGTGCAGCACAGGTAAGTAGCTGAGCCATGGAGGACCCTACTGACTTGGAGGTGCTGCCCAACTCCTGAGCGCACTTCTCCAACTAAAGAACCATTCAGGAAAACGCAGCCTTAATTCGAACTTCAATTGCAATTTCTTATTTTCATGAGAAAGCTGACTTTTTCTTACCGATTCTCCCGGCAGCGGTTTCAGCTGTGCATTACCGGCAGCCAAACTGGCGTCCTGCAGCTCACTTTTCAGCTTTTGGATGGCGGTGAGTGCGGAGTCGATCTCCATGGGGCCACAAGCTTCATGAGCCTAGAAAAAAATGCAAATAGGTTAAAAAAAAAAAAGTATATCAAGTGTACATATGGTCTGACATCAACCATGGTAAGCAACCTAGCAGGAAAATTTGTTTAATTGTTCACAGTTGTCTCATATGCTTTCCTCAAGGGTTAGAGTTCTTAATTTTCAATTTATGTTCCTACCAAAATTGTTACAAATTGAATCGACATCAAACATCATGAGTTCTTAATTTTCAATTTATGTTCCTACCAAAATGTTACATATTGCATCGACATCAAACATCACGTACAACTAAAGCACAATTATGTTTCTCCGTCTGCTATACCGCTAACCTCTTGTTTTTATCTGATGAAGTCACTTGTTGCTAGGCAGACTTAAGCAACTCAGCAAATCAACTCATAAAAACACTATTCAGAAACGATGAGACATGCTTCTTTTTAAATACTTTCCCAACGGAACTACTGCTTTGTATTAACTACAAAATACAAATAAAAGTTTGACTTATACCTTCTGTGCAGCTGTCCTCAGCTCGGCCAGGCAAGTGGCCAGGTTCTTGGCACACTGACCCAGTTGCATGGCTGCAGCCTGATCCGTCACCGTGGGAACCGATGACTTTGCGGAGGTCACCATCTTACTACCCGGCTGTGTAGCGCATGGAACATAAATAGTTCTATTAAATCTGCTTCTTAAAGCAAAACTCCATAAAGTTTATGACAAACCGGATGCCCGTCGCGAATACGCAAGGAAAAAAAAAAGACACAAACGCCTCAAATAGAAAAAGTGGGAGTAACTATCCCTACTCAATTTCTTAGATGGTCTTGCACACATCTGGACGTTAAAGAGTTTCCGATCCTATTTGAACTCTTTTGCTAAGCAAAAGAGCAGCACCTACGTGGCCACGTAAACAGGCTCAGATATGGAGCCGCTTTCTCAAATGATGATTTGTGGTTCCACTATAATTTTGTGTACGTCTAGGTTTACGTTCTGGAAAGCTACAGAACATTAATTCCACCCAGACTGCCTTGTTCTACTTTATTTTAGCCCCTTTAAACTCCACTTCATCCATTGTAATACACCGGTAACATTGTGTAATAGCAACCTTCTGTTGAGCAACCCCCCCCCCCCCCGGCTACCGTTTGTTTAAGTAGAACAGTTGAATCAATGAGATCATGTCGTAACTGCACCAGAGTTTAAAAAATAGGTTGTGGGTCCATTTTTAAATTGTCCCAACATGGAATAATGGCTATATATATATACTTTGTTCAGCCTCATTCCCAAAGTAGTCGTGACAATTCTGGGGCATCAAGTTTCAACATCCCCTTACCATAAGCACGCGCGTGTAAGTGTGAGAGTGTTATGGGTTGCACCTGTAGGAAGTTCTGGCTGGCAATAATGAGGGCAAGTTGTGCACTGATGTCATCCGGTTTGGCCTGACTGCTGCGCACCCCCTGGACCAGTTGAGGGATGTGGTCAGCCACCGCCTAAATCGCACACACACACACACACACACACACACACACACACACACACACACACACACACACACACACACACACACACGCACAGCAGTCATTGGTTAATTTTGAATTGTCTCACAATGGTATCATTCGGATTTTGTTGGGTGTTTGCTACATCTCAAAGTAATTGGAGCAGGAAATAGATTTTTCGTGCTTGCTACCATCAGGCATGACTAGAGTGCTGACAGAGCGGGCTGCGAAAGTCATCAAAACAGGAAGTTCGTCAAGATTTGGTAAGTATACTAAAATAAGGAGGGACAAGGCATTGTGATCTTGTACAGTAAGAGAGGAGAAAATGTACAGAGGAAACACATTTAGGTCTCCTAATGAACAATATCTGTGCAACATTCAGATAAAAAAAAAAACAAAAAACTGTGGAATAGTGGACCTGAAAGTACATAATCAGTCTACTAACATGAGATAATATCGACATTCTGAAATTAGATCATTCCCCACACAGCACACCTCATGACAAACAAATGTGCTGCCGCACACCGGTTGGGATTTAATTTATACATTTAATAATTTTTATATTCAATAAATAAACTAATCACGCTCACCTTGCAGCTCTGAACCAACTGCTGGTGGGCGGCTGTGTTCTTGTTGGAGGCGGCGGCATTCTGAGCGGCGGCGATGGTTTGCGTGGCAGCCGCTGCACCTTGCTTGGCAGCATTCTGAAGCACAAAACACACACGCACACACATGAAATCACATTTTTTGTGCAGCCATTCAAGGCCTCTGAGTTGATATCTACTTAGAAATCGCAAATGTGTGAAAGAAAGTGATGTAAAATGACACATTGCAGACTGAGCCTTTCAAGAAAATGCAAGCTGAAAGTAACCATTTCCGTTTTTTTTAAATCTCAAGTCATCTCTGCCCGCTTCGCCCTCAATCTGATCCCTGCAGACCTCGAGTCTGTTGAGCAGCTTCTTCTTGATGGCGTTCTGAGCAGCAGCGTTCGTCGCCACTCGAAGACCCTCAGCAGCCTCCCTCAGTCGCTGCTGCTGATCTTCGTTCTCGGGATAGGCCGCTGCACCCTGAGGGAACGCACACCCGCATGAACAAGCACACACACACACACACACACACACACACACACACACACACAATTTATTATCGAGGGGCCGGGCTAGAAACGGTCGCGCCAAAATCTCCGTCGTTGAGCTAACGAAGACATTGTGGACAAATAAAACGGCTAAATTAAAGAACTTTACGTGGCCCAGACAAAATGAATAAGTAAATAAAGAGAAAATAACACACACAATTTCATGGAGAAAGTCTTTAACCTTCCAATATAATGGCCAGCTGTGAATATTATGTCTACAAAGTGACTGCGCTGTTGATAAATTTCGTTTGAGACCAGTCGAGTGTACCGTATTGCTGCCTTCTGCTTGTTGACGGTGATTTAACAGAACAGGTCATTTGCATAATTATCAAAGCCTGCTAATTCCAGAGGGACAAATGACGACATGACTTCCATGAGCGGGCCAACACTAACAAGCTTTTCAAGTCCCAGCCACTGTCTGCTATGACAATATAACATGCAGAAATGGATTGAGGGAATAGGGGGGGTGGGATCAAACAATATAAGCAGTGTCCAGAAGTCTTGAATCTTATCAGTTCATCAGTCGCCATGACAACAGTGCCCAAATAAGGTCCAGGAGGAATATGTAAAGAGGCAACTTGTGGTAAATTAAGGCTTAAGTCAAAGTAAACTGGAGCTGGAGCCTGTTCATTGTCACGGTGGAAAGTGGGGAGCTATTCATAGAGTTTGATCCAGTTGACAGATGAATTAATTTCATAAATGACTCACGCTTTGTCTTATTGTAGTATGTTAACCCTTTGTCATAAGTGTCAAGTTTCTGAGTCGGCGTATTATTAGTTGCGACACCTTTCGGCTTCAGATGATTCAAGGCAGGAATGGGCACTAAGTGTGGTGTGACAGTGATTTGTTCGGGGTTATTACACCGGCTAAATTTGGATCAAACAGCAAGTGAGCTGCATTAAGCCACACTTGGAATCGCAGTGACTTAACATTCATACACGTCAGGGCCAACTTCCAGTTTGGGGATGTTTTCGGTGCTTTGATCATGATCCAGACCCAAATGAGTGGAGCCAAAGTGAAACAATGAGCATAGGCAGAGTTTTGTTTTGTAATCCTCTACAGACTTCATTAAAATGTCAAACTAAAAGTACAGCTCAGTGTCACGTCAGATGTTTTTAACTCCAATTTACAGAAAGAATGACTTTAGATGATTAAGTCATTACTCACTCACTGCCAAACTTCATGGGATTTAATATGAGAGAATTATCAAAATTGCTTCATTTTGGAAGAGGCAATTAACTCATTCAATACCAGCCAATTCTGGACCAAGTCTGAAAAGACGTTTAAAAGCGTCTTTGGGAGTGAATGAGTTCATGAAACAACAACGTTGACAGTGATATAGAATGTATTGCATCACACACAGCTTTTGTTAATAGTGTTCTGAAATTATGCAATGTTGTTGGATGAATGGACTGGGCAAGTGTCAGGAGGAAATGTGCATTATTTTCTTTCCCGACACTTATTAAATTGCCTGATCTTTTGCGGTTCAATGTTGGATATGTTCCATTTTAACACCGTTCCAGCCAGGCTTACATAAAAAAATGGACTTGATCACCCAAGCACTAGCTTAATTCACAATGTTATGTCAAAGCTTTTTGGGACAGTCTCCGAGGTTCAGTTTTTGGCAAAACTTGAAAATTTGTGATTCTCAGTTTTGCTATTCAATGTATTTTTTATCATAAATGTTCATTTTGATTCACAAACTGAAATTTTAAACTGCTCATTTCAAGTGTTGTAGTGGTAGTGGGAGTAGTTGAATGGCCAATGATTAAATGCTGAGAGAGAATGAAGTAAATACCTTGGCCGCTTCCACCATCCTGGCAGTGGCATCAGCCAACAATTTAGCCGCCGCCAGCAACTTTTTGGAGTTGTCCAGGTCCACCTCGGCTTCGGCATCTGACCTCATTGCGTTCACCAGGTCCGAGGTGGCCTGGGCCAGCACCCGGGCCTGACGGACCATCTCTCCTGTCAAGAGGGCAGCAGAAGACACGGATTACCATGGGAAGACCATTCTACTGAAGTCATTTCATCAACAAATTTGGGCGCCATGATAAAAACTTGTTTTGGATTTCGGAGTAACCTGCGTCTCCCATGGAGGTGAAGATGCTCTCAGTGACGGTCATGATGGTGTCAGTGGCTTGGTCGTAGCGGCCGATGGGCTCTCCTCTGGAGGTGTACTGGCGGACGTGTTGCAGCAAATCTTCCAGAGCTTGACTCACCACGCTGGCTGCCGCGCTCACCTATCAAACATGACGAGAACTTCTCATGAGACTCGTTTTGATCACTCTAACAAATTCCCCCAATCAGTGTTTTAAAAATACTACCAAGTGACCAGGAACAGAACAATGAATAGATGGCCACCATCTCAGTAGGAGGAAATGGGCTTCATATATCCATTCAAAGGAAACAATATGTCAAATCTCAAATACGCAACCCATTAGTACCTAATCTATTGTCAGTGAAATACAGTATTTACATTACTGCCAAATGTATAATATGGATACGGACCTGGATTCAATAAATTTTGATATTACAGCTTCTGACATAGCATAGACCAGGGATGAGCAATTTAAATGATGGAGGAGCCCACCATTTTTCATCAGCGCTACAATAGGGCGACATAGGAGCACGCGCTTCCTTACCTGATGGACGACAAAAATGCCAATATGAACAAAAAAAGTTGTTGTTTTTTTAATTGAACCAATGCACATTGTACAATATATTATTTAGCTACTATGTTTGTCCTGCATGTCATTTCAAATCCACAAAAATATTTGTTCTACTCACATTGTCATATAGGCAGTAAAAGACCCAGCCCAACTAAGCAACCTCCCAACAGGAAGGCCGAAGCCGGAATCAAACTCTGCACCTCTTCACTGTGAGGTGGACATGCTAACCGTGCCGTGTTTAGTATGCGGATGCACACCAAAATGTTATGCTAACAACTGAAATGCTTGTGGAGGCTCTCAGTCGTACAGGAAAGTTCCATCGTAGAAAGGGTTCTGTCAGTCGTCATCTGTACCTGTGGGTAAAAAACAAAAAAAACAAAAAAAAGCAAAAAAGGACGTTTCGCTTCTCTCACAGAAGCTTCTCTCACAGAAGCTTCTGTGAGAGAAGCGAAAGTGAGAGAAGCGAAACGTCCTTTTTTGCTTTTTTTTGTTTTTTTTGTTTTTTACCCACAGGTACAGATGACGACTGACAGAAC